TTTTCTGTAAAAAAAAAAAAAAAAAAAAAAAAAAAAAAAAAATTGGCAGCCAGCAGAAAGGTGCTCTCTCACTCCCGAGATTACATGGTGGCTCTGGAACCCAGCAAGACCCAGGCTTGTGCCAAAGTTCAAGTCCTGGTTCCCTTCACGTCACCATATCAAATTCTCCCCCATCTTCCGAGTCGGCTCCTCTGTGCCTCCCTCCCTGGCCCCCTAACACCTCCTCTTTTGCAGCTATTCTGTGAACTACTGATTAGATCCCTTTGGCCCCAACAACATGCTGGTGTGTCCGTAGCATTTGCCAGACCGAGAGCTTCTCCAGGGCAGAGTTGGCTGGGCCCTGCTGGGAGTCCTGCGGAGCCAGCCCAGGGCCCAGCACACAGCGTGTGTTCAGGAGTGGGGCAGAGGACAGCAGCCAGATTTCCTACAAAGCACAGGTTAGAGAAGAAACCCCCCGTCATGCCTTTATGATGCTCAGTTTACTAACTGGGAAACAGCACCAACTTTCCAGGAAGGGGGCTGCACTGGGGTTCAGGGGCCTGAGTCCTTAACCAGAGAGCAGGAAAGAAATGGAATCCCATTGTGTTGTGGATTTAAGTGCCAGCACTTCTACTTGCATTAACTTTATTTATTACACAAATAAGACATTTACAAAGCACAACATGAAAGGTATGTAACAAAACGGACATTGGTTTTACAAAAAAGTGCTTACAATTTTTTTCCGTGTGTGTGTATGTGTGTGTGTGTGTGTGTTTCCCCTTTTGTACTTAAATAAATAGTCTCGATGGCCTGTACATTCCCAGGCTGCTCTAACAGGCTAGTGGAGACATGTCTGAACTGCAACATGCTACGACCACGTGATCCACGCAAGGAACAGACCTTGGGGGAGGCTCAAGGTAGAGTGGGTACTGGGTGACCCTGGGTAGGGCTGGACCGGCCATCAACTACATGGTTGCTCTTGGGGCCTCAGGAGCAAAACTCAAAGGAAAAATTAGAGTTCCCCAAGGCCAGGGACCAGGCCTACACCGCTCCTGTCAACAGCAAGCCCCAGGCCAGGGCCAGGTCCACGGTATTCACTGGATGAGTTCTGAACTGAGCTGTACTGACCACATTCCAAGTCGTGCCTTCTCTTTGCCCTGAGTCAGCTGGAACCATCTTCAGAAGGGAAAGGAAGCAGGTCCCCTTCTTGAGCTGCACCCATGCCTCGCTTTCCTCCAGGTCCCGGAGCAAGAATGACATACAGACTTTCATGTTAAGTGCCAACTTGAAGCATCCGAATTCTGAAACCTTACCCAGACCCAGTAACAGAGAGTGCTGTAACTGACTCACAACGTCTCCCACGGGTAAAACCAGGGACAGTCGATACATATGTGCCATGGACTTGCTTTCCCTGTCCTAGAGTCTCCTTCCAAAGGCAACATAGCAGGTTACCTGGAGCAGGAAGGAGGACTTGGGCTGAACCATGCTTGCTAGCAGCCTCTAGTGGGAAATACATCAGGACACCAAGTACTTGTAAAATTACAGGATAAACTCGGGACAAATGGGCGTCCCCCGAAAACATAAATCATGGTCTTGTGTGGCCCAAGCCCTTTTGTTTGGGGTTGAAGAGTTGCAGCAGGACAGGGTGGGTGTTAGCACAGCTGTGTCTGGCCTCTGTTCTCAGGACTGGGTGGGGGAGCCCAGAGGTGCCAGCTGGAATCTTGGGCTTGGCACACTCACCTAGGCAGTGAGCACCCTCTCTCTACCCAGATATGGGTCCAGAATTAACATTCTGGCTGCCGTTTCCCTGAGCTCTGTTCTCCAGCTCCCATGAGTAGTCCTCCCAAACAAGATGTGGCCCAAGCACCCCTACCAGGAGTCAATGAGTGGCCAACAAGGGCCCCCAATTCCAACCTGCCCAAACATTTGGAAATGTTATCGCATAGTTCAAACACCATCTCTGCTAGGTCGCTGTATACATAGATGCTGGATACCTAGGTAGGAGGAGGGTCTCCCACATGTACCCCGAGTTTTCTCTCTCCTCTCCCAGCCCAATGTGCCACATCCTTCCCCTCAAGCTCCAAGCCAACGGGGGTCTCTGTCCCGACCAGCCCCTGCCTATCCCCTACCTCCTGGTCTCAGCGGGCCTCCATCTCTGCCCTGCTGGGCCTCTCAGGGTTGGTCAGTGTCTCTCTCTCTGAATTAACTTGACATAACCAGACAGATGGAAATGATAAAATTAGAACATAAGTCTTCCTTTGGGGAGATCCCACAGACACTGTAGAGTTTTCCAGACAAAAGCAACAGAGTGGATAACATTGGGGGTTGTTGGCTTGCAGAATTCAGAGATAGTTCCAAGGAAGTAGTGAGTAAAGGCCAGCATGGGAAGAAAGAAAACCTGTAAATCAGAAGGCTGTTGGCGTTGCACAATTCAATTAGGCCTTTTGCTATTGTAATCAGCTTAAGTTGAAGATGAGTCCTGTCTAAATGGAAAAAGTGGGCTGTTGTTTCCACCCTGATTCCAAACTTCAGGGAGCTCTGCCTTCCAAGAGGACTCTGAGGTGCTCCTGGCGGGTTCTGGTTCTCAGCAGGAGAGGGGATGGCCAGGCCCATGGGCCCAGCTGGTGGCAGGCGGGATGGCAGATGAGGGGTGGATGTGGAGGTGGATGGATCCCTGGCAGCGCTTGGACACTGCGTTTCAGCGGCTGAGGGGCAGCTGTGGGGTGCCCATGGACAGATGCACCAGTGCAGGGAGCGTCAGTACTGAAAAAGGATGACCTGCAGAGGAGGGGACGGTAGGTGGCTGAGTTGGGGGCCTGCCCCTCTCAGCAGCTCCCCAGAGGTCCTTGAAGGCACAGAGAATGTGGATGGCTCAGGGCCCAGATCTGGGTTCAAATCTTGGCTCTGGCACTTACTTGCTGTGGGACCTTGGGCAACTCACTTCACCTCTCTGAGCCTGTTTCCTCATCTGTAAAATGGGAATAACAAGACCTCTCTCTCAGAATGGGGAGGATTCAGTGAGCTACAGGAGCGGCAGCCAGTGTCTCCCGGGCACTGCACCCTGCGCCCGGCACTGCACAAAGCACCTGACCCGCATTGGTTCCTGGAACCTCATGATCCCTCAAAGGTGTCCCACCATCATCTCCATTTTACAGGGGAGGGCACTGAGGCTCAGAGAGGTGAAAATCAGTGAGCCCTTGGAGGAGGTGGACCCAGCCCTGCAGCCCAGGCCTGGCTCCAGAGTGAGCTCTCTCCATCATATCACAGCACCTCTACCTCCCCACAGCCACCATGACAGCTGTCATCATGCCTATGACACACCAGGCGACAGGCCAAGCACTTCATGCACTCGGTCTTCAAAACGCCGAGAGGCGGGTGGCTGAGATGCGCCAGGTACCTGACACACAGCAAGTGGTCAGGGACTGTCTGCCCCTGTCCCTCTCCTGTCCCACCTAAAGCACCTGGCTGACCGCTCACGCCGCTGACCCAGCCAGCTCCCTGGAGTTCGGGTCAAGGATCACTGGCCGGCTGGTCAATGGGATCGCACAGTAAAGGGTCAGGTGGGGGTCTTAAGTGGTCCCGGGACATCAAATGGGTATGGCCATATGGCTGTTCCATTTTCTGATCGGGAAGGTGACTTGCCCAGGTCGGTTACCGTGAGGAGAGGGAGGCATAGCAATGCCTCCTATGGCTACTTTCTGCATATTGGGCACTGTGCTAGGTTCTTTACATACATTACTGCATCTGCTTTCAGCAACAAGCTTGGGTGGGAAAACTATTACCCTCATTTTGCAGCTACAGGAACCAAGGCTCAGAGAAACTGTGTTCCCAGGTCTCAGAGTGAAGGGTGGCAGAACTGGGGTTCATTATCCACCTGACTCAGCTCACACCGCACTGCCTCACCCACTCACTGAGCCTCAGCAGTGCTCTCCTCTGGCCTCCGGGGTGCCTGGCTTTGGGCTCTTATTAAAAGAAGTCTCTGGTAAGACCCCTCCCCCCATGGGCCTCAGTCTCTCCATCTGATCAATGACAGCTCGGCCCTGATTTCCAAGCACCTTCTAAGCTCTGAAATGTGGGATTGGGGGCCATGACCAGGAAGAAATGTGGTTCTGGAAACTCACAGGTGTTTGTGGCCAAATGATGTGGGGGCAGAGGGTGTTACTCCCAAATGCTCAGAGACCATTCTCCTGGCCAGGCCAGCGCTGGTCTTGATGAGTCGGTTCAGGGGCCTGCCCCAGGGGGGCACTGAGTCTCCTTATAGCTGGGCTGTCTCAAGCCTGGAGTGAATTGGAAGAAAGCCCATACAGTTCTGCACTGACTGACCATACATTGCCCACTAGTCCCCAGGGTTTTGTCAAGATGTGGTCAGAAAAGGTCCCCAGGAGCTAGCAGAAGGCTTGACAGTGAGGGGGAGAAAGATCACTAAGGAGGGGAGACATTTTTCTGAAGAGGTGCTAGACGTGAAGTTGGGGACGCAGCCCAGCAATAGAGAACTCTGGCTCCGCAGCCAAACCCAGGGGCCAGAAACCTTCTGCAGCCAAAGCTGCCAGACCCCAGGCCGGCTCACCCTTTAGGCTGAACCAGACATAACCACAAGCTTAGCTGAGCAACCAGAAGGCCAGGGCTCATCTCCAACCTCTGAGCACAGCCCTTAATACTTCCAAGGCTAACCCCCCTCCAGACAATGCCCAAGTCCCTCACCCAATGGTCCAGGCCCTTCATTATGGGACCCCCTGTTGCCTCCCCCCACCTCCCTGGCCTCAGCCATGCTAAACATCCCTCAGCCCCACAAGCCCAGGCTCCTCCGTGCATGCCTCTGTGCCCGGCATGTTCTCTGCTCCCGACCTGGAATGCCCTTCTCCCCATCCCCTGCTTCTCCCCCAGAACTTTCACTCCCTCTTCTGGGTCCTTGAAGGACATCTCGTCCCTCACCTCAAGTGCCCTGTCACCTGGGGTGCAGCTGCCTGCCTCATGCTCTAAGCCACACACTCCTTAAGGACAAGGACCCTGCCAGCTGGCCTCTGCAGTCCCTGTACCAGGGAATGAATGCTCTCCTGCAGGAGGGGGCAGCTCTGAGGTGGGCAGTCCTAGGATGGAGGCCAGCCCTACCCACACCCTCTGTGTGGCCCTGGGCAGGTACTGCTCTGTCTGAGCCCCAGTGTCTGCAGGTGTGAAAGGGAGTCAACCGGAACTACCCTCCCAGGGGAGCTGTGGAGGCCGACATCAGAAAGAGCACTGTGTAAACTGTAAAGTGCTGCGTGAAAGGACGTGGTTACTGATCAAGGTGGACTTCAGAGACCAACAGACTCACTGAGTCCTTGGACAAGCTGCTCCTGGGGCGTGCTCGCCCACCACCAGGTGCTGCGGGATTCTGCCCTGAGCACTACCAGTTGCTTATAAACCGATCTGTCCAACTCGGTTGTCTGTACAGCCATACCATATACCTTCCCCCATGGCGCCCGGCAGCGAGGCCAGCACACAGTAGGTGCTCAACTGGGAGGCTGCCTGCCAGAATCACACGGGCTGGGTGTTACACCATCAGATCCCTGGTCCCCGCCCCGGACCTGGCCATCAGCTCCCTAGGGGCTAGGCTGAGGAATCGGCCCCTTTACAAACTACCCAGCTGCTTCTGAAAATCACACCAACACCCAGCACACTCTGCTGGACTCAAGGGCCCCTGGGGGCCCTTCCAGCCTGAAGTCCCTGACCCTCTCCCTGGCCCACCACCCTGATCCCTGGCACTCCCTGCCTCTCTGAGGACCACTATAGTGATGTTTCTGACAGGCCTCCAGGGACCGCCACTGCCCCAAGACCGAGTCCAAACTCCTCCACCTCGCCCCTCGCTGTTCTTCCTCCCAAGCCTGTGTGCCAGCAACACTGAATCGCTCGGTGTTCCCCAAGACAGCCTCTCATGCCTTCCCCTGTAACTCTGATTCAGCCTTCAGGCCAGGGCTCAGACGTTGCCTTCCTCCAGGAAGTCTTTCTGTGTCTCTCCTGAGCTGCGCCCCCGCCCTCCACTCCGCAGCTCCCTTGGCTCCCCCATCACAGTTGGATCACAGTGTTGTAACTGTTGGGGTGTGTCTCCCCCTCCAGACTGTGGCCTCCTCAAGGGCAGGCACCATGCTTTCCTCATCTCTATGCTCCTGGCAACTGGCTCCGGGCTCCTGGGCACAGTCAGCACTTAGCAAACGTCAGTTAAATACATGAATAAATGAATAAATAAATGCGCAGGTTCTCATTCAGTCTCTGTGACCTTGAGCTACCTGGGCCTCAATTTCCCCCTTTCTAAAAAGGGGGGGCTTAGAGCAGTGGCTTTCAGGCTAAGTGGGAGGTGCCTTGCAGCTGAGGAGGGGGGGACACTCCCTCTGCAGTTTCACCCAGAGCAGCTCCATCCACTTTCATCTGCATTATGGACTATGGAAAAGATTTAACAAAGGTTTCCAGGGCTTAAGAACAAAACTTTCGAGCTACTGGCTGGGTGCTGCCTAAGCACCCTTCTGGATGATCAGTCCTAATGCTGGAGACATCCAGAGACCAGGATTTCACAAAGGAGACCTTGCCAGTTGACCAAGGTCACTCGCTGATCTGCTATCCCCGGGCCTCACAAGCTCAGGATATTCAATCCCAACAGACAGGAATGAGAAGGAGGAAGTGGGGGGAACCAGTGAGTGGCAGGAGGAGGGTGGCGTGTGACATGAGCCCTCTCTGGAACCACAAAGCTTGAGCAAAGTAACTACATTCAGAAACCTGAAAAAGAGAAGGCCAGCGGCTGGCGGGGAGCTGCAAGGAGGGCCGTGCACATGGAACTCACTGGCACCTGCTCCAGTGCCTGCCTCGGGGGCACAGTGGGGGCCTGAGGGTGCTGGGCAGAGAGGCCCGGTGCCTGCTCAGCGATGAGGAATGCTGTCAGAAGCCCATGCCCGCAGGACGGCTCTGACCCCCAGACCCAACCTGGTGCCATTTACCTTCTCACCCCGGGTGGAGAGCGGCCCATCCATGTCGGCTTTGAGGTGGACAGGGGGCGCGGTGTAAGGCAGCCGGCAGTGCACCTGCCCGCACTGTACCTGACCTGTGGACGAGAGGACGCCTTGGAGCCCATACCCAGCCTCCACGCAGGATCCCACCTGCCCCACGCTCGGCAGGCTGGAGCCCCGGGACCACTTTCACCTCTGCTACTTACCAGCTGACTGGGCAAAATTTCAGTAGGGTGGGTTGCACCGCTCTGTGTGAGAGGCTTTATAACCTATAAAGTTCTATATAACTGTCCAGCTGACTGATAAACACTCATAAGTGAATATGTATTAAACATCTCCTACATGCAAGGCTGTGCCCATCTATCAGGATCCTCCCCTGGTGCCTTGTACCTTATCTCCCAGGTATCACCAAGGCTTTCCCCCGACACCTCCGAGGGGACTCTGCACTGGCATGTCACCTTCTTCGTGATGCTCTCTCCCTGACCACCCTGTTAATAATTGCAACCCAGCACCAACACCCACCCCCACACTCCCTGTCTTTGCCAACTAGAATGCAAGCTCCAATGAGGGCAGGAATTTTTGTCTGTTTCCTAGATTTTAGATCTTTGTGGATTTCCAGTACCTAGAATGAGGCATGGCATCCAGTAGGTACTCTTTAAATATTTGTTGAGTGAGTCTCTGTACCATATTCTAACATCTAAAACTGTGGGGGAAGTCCATCCTTATGTCTGACCCAAGTCTCTCATGTTTTAGCCTCTTTACCGCTACCGTGGAAAAGTCCATGGCTTCCTCTTCCCTGCACTTCATCCACTTTGGTAACAAAAAAGAGGCCTGTACAGAGACTTACAATTGGTATGTAACTTGGGACAAGTCACTGTGCCTTTCTGGGGCAAAGTCCCCTCGTCCATGGAATAAAGCAGTTGTATACAATTGGGGATTCTTAACCTGAGGTGTTCTAGGAGTCCATGAACAGCTCGAGATGACATGGAAAACTATGTGTGTATGTGCATTTTTCTGGGGTCTGGTTCCAAAGTGTTTTATCAGATTGCAAGCTCTAAGGCTCCAGGAAGCTCAGGGTCCTGTGAATTTAGTTAACTGCAAAGCAAAGTGCCGAGGTGACCTTCAGTCATGCAGCAACAGGCAGCAGGTCCAAACGCCCTTGATAGCTCCTGCCCCAAGCTGGGTTCCACCTCAAGGTGGAGAGATGCCTTCTCTAGGCATCAAATACAGACCTAGGCTTGGTCAACAAAGTATAAGGGCAGAGTGCTGGCATGACTCTAGAGGTGATGGCCTCACTCCCAAGGGAGTCACTTAGATCCATGACCAATTCCACAGCAAATGCTAGCTGGTAGCCCAAATTCCTGGTACCCAGAGAGCCCCTGGTCCTTTAACAGATGAACTAGATCTTCTACAGGCTCTGAGTAGTCTGAACATAAGTCATTGTTTAAAACAGAAAGGGAGAAAAAGTCCCTCCCACTGAGCAGACGGTTCAGAAATGGAACAGTGCAAAGAGACAGCTTCCAACTGGCAGCCTGGTGCCGTAGGCAGGACTCTGCCCTCTCAGCTCTGCCAACCAGAACCACCGCTACCATCAAAGAGCAGCTAATACTCAATCCGGCACTTACTAAATGCTGAAGACTTTAAGTCAATGATCTCAGTTCATGCTCACAACACTGCTTTGAGATAGGTATCCTTTGTGTCTCCGTTTTTTCAGATGAGGAAACCGGTATTTAGGGAAACTAAAAAGGTTGCCCCAATGTCACACTGCCAGGAAGTGGCAGGGGTGGGATTTTAAGCCCAACAGTCTCACACCAACACCCACACTCAATCATTAAAGAATACTGGTTCCCCCTAACTTACTGTGGACCCTTGTTTTCCTCATCTGTACAATGGGATAATGATCTCTGATGTTTAGGAACATGGTTAGTGTCTGGCACATGGCAGGGGCTCAGTAAACAGCAGTGTCTCTCTGACATCTTCCCTTTACAAGAGCCACAGAAGGAAGGATTTGAGTTTGTGAGTATAATGTAGGCACTTTTATTTTTCTGGTAGTACCCAGCTTTGAGGAAACAATCAATGGAAACACCCTCGAAGGGAAAGAACATGTGTTATAAGCACCTGCTCAACGTCAGATTCATTGACGCTCGTGCCCCAGAAATGCACAATGCTACACCCTCTCTCCTCCAGGTTCCTGCTCAAAGTTCACTCCACCGTGGCCACCCTCCACCTCCCCACAGTGCTCAGTGCCCACTGACGTGCCTGCCCACCCCCTGTCCTGTATTAGTTTATTGTCTCTCCACCCATGCCCCACTCTGGAATGTGAGCCCCAGAAGCACACAGGCTTTGGTGTATTGTGTTCTATGTTGTATCCCAGTGCTTAGGACACAGAAGTCACTCTACAAATAATTACTCAGCCCGGCCACTTGGCTCAGTGGTTGAGCATCGACCTAGGATCCAGGAGATCACGGTTCGATTCCCAGTCAGGGCACATGCCCGGGTTGCGGGCTCCATCCCAGTGGTGGGCATGCAGGGGGCAGCCGATCAGTGACTCTCTCTCATCACTGATGTTTTGATCTCTCTCTTCTTCTCTCTCTCTCTCTGAAATCAATAAAAACATATTTTTAAAAATAATAATAAAAATAATCACTGAATACATGGGTGGATTTTCACAACCCTGTGCGGTAGGCATTATTAACGTCCCAGGTTACAGGTGAGGAAACTGAGGTTTAAGGAGGTTAGGTGATCTGCGAATGGCCTCGCAGCCCTGAGAATTCCCGCCACACTGGCCTTCTGCGACCCAAATGCACCGGTGCCGTGATGCTCCGGCCACAGGCGGCCTCCAGGCCCTCCGACGCCCTGCACACCTGTCTCCCCACTGTCTCTGCCTCATTCATCTACACCCATCAGTCCCGGCTCAGCTTGTTAGAGAGGTGGCATCTCCACGCTCCCGCCCAGCCCCTCTCCTACAGGAACCACGACAAGGAAATCACACGCTCCTCTCTCTGGCTATTGCTCCACGTCGCCTCTCCCACCGGAATGCGCCTCCACCCGAGCAAGGACGCGGCCTGTCTTGCTCTCTCCCTGGTCCCCGGGCCCTGGCGCAGGACCGGTGCTTGGAAAGTACCTTGTGAATGGCTGAATGGCTCGCTTTCTACCGAGACAGAGCCAGGTAACTTGACCCCTCTTCCCACGAGTGACCGCGAAGCCCGCCTCTTCCCCCAGG